CGGTACTTTTAGGAAACAATCCTTAATGAGTCATTTTGTCAAGCATAGTGGCATGAAAAGTAGTCTATCTTGTAGAGGAGAATTTTCTCTATCAAATGGTGTGTTTTGATGTGGCTTTGAATTTGAAATAAACTTACAGAAGATGATTAAAGGAAGTGGTCGCACAATTTTGACGGATGGAAAGTATATAGGATTTCACTTTTCTCAGCCATAAGTACCTGACAGATTGAGATGGTAGCCTGAGTTTCTGTATATATATACCCTAAGTATTAAAGACTAATGTGGTGAAAACTAAAAGTTTCTATCTGCTGTCATCATCGAAAAACTAGGCAACAAAAGTACACTATAAGGGGTGGTCGCACAATTTTGACAGCCACTGTATATATTTCTCTGTATACACGAAAATTTGTATAAAACATGATAGTGAGAAAGTAAAAAAAGAGCTCTTTAATTGTTTGCCTTTACTTTTGATCATGAGTTATTGCTAATGAACGAATACTAACATCACATTGTGAATAAGCATAAGCAGGTTGTAAATCATGTGTTCGAATGATTTGTACAAAACCTCGATCACCACCAATAACTGTATATTAACTATCAACATTTAAAACTTTAGACTAGACAAAAATAAAATAATATAATGTGTATTTTTGTTTCTGTTTTTACTTGAATAGTTTCATCTTCAAATATTGCTTGTCTCATTAATTTTCCATTTAATGTATATAAAAATAATTTTGAACGATCATAACAAACAATAATATCACCATCAAATGATGGTGATAATAGACGTAGTGTAGATATTTTTGATGGATTTTCAAATGAACGTAATATTATCACCGTTAAGTGTATGTTGAAGTACAAGACTTTGTTCACTACTGCTTAAAACAATACCAAGTTCAGCTGATATCCATAAACACGTTATTTCTCTATCATGGCCAGTTAAAATTGCTGCTGATGATGGATTGATTTCTATACAAAAAAAAATTATAATATATTGATTTGTTTTTTTTTTAATTTAATTATAACCTTGATTTGGATATTCTCGATCAACTATTGCACCTTTTGTTCCATTCTATATCCAAATACAAACTGTGCAATCACGTGAATCAGTTGCAAGACAACAATTTCCATCAATAGTTACTTCCGAACGACATACACATGTAACAATATCAAAATGACCATAGAGTACTTGTGTAGTTTTTCCTATATCAGTGTTTTGTACACGACAACTTTTATCTCAATAACCAGTTGATATTATATAACGATTATCATCAGTAACAACAAAACTTTGATGTCGTTGTCGAATACGTTCATCAAAATTATCACCCAAATGATGCGACAATTTAAATTTATATTCGATACTAAATAAAAGAAATTGAAAGGATAAAAGAAGATATTCTTAGTGTTATTTATCTTTGAAGTTTGATATATTTCCTTCTGAGAATAAGATTGAAGTATCTATGATGAGCTTAAGTATAGAATTGATCTAACTAAAATTGAATCCATGTTTAATGGTAATTGTGTTTGTTGATGTATTGTTGTTTGTGATGATTCTGGATAAGTTTGTGTTGGTGTACCAACATTTGGATGATATTTATTTATAGAAAAATCATGTTTATTACTAATTGTAACAATAGCTTGTACGGATAGTGTTGAATTTGTATTAGCAGAAACGCGAATAATTGGTGCATTTGATGAAAATTTCATTATCACTGATACATCTTCTGGTGTACTAAAATAAAATATTTTTTATTTAATTTTGCTTTTCTTTAAGAAAAAGAATTACTTACACATTATACATCATTGGAGTTTAGAATACAAAAAAAAAAAAAAAATTATTTAAAAAAAAGTTTTTTTTTTTCGTTTTACTAAATTCATAGCAGAATTTCTTGGTGGATGTGGTTCAGTTAAAAGTTGTGCTAGTGCTTGACCAAAATCTCTTATTTGTGTTTCAATAGTAGCACGATCAGTTGGATTTGTTATTGAATCAAGATTAACGGCCTCTTCATATGTTAAATAATAAAAAACATTAACAGCACGAACAGCTTCACATCCTAAAATATTAAATTTTAAAATAATATAAAATGATATTAATCTTATAAATGAACCTCTTTGTTTATAACCAAAAATAAAATCAATCCAATGATGTAAATGACATGAAACGAATTCAGATTCTAATGCTTAAAAAATTTTTTAATTAATTTTATTTCTTAAAACTATTTTTTCTTTTTCTTACTGTTCGATTAATTCGAATAAAATCTTCTGATGTTTATGCCCATTTAGGTAAAATAACATCATCAATTTGAATTCCATCTTCAGTTCGTCCTAATTTATAATGATTACAATTTGTTAACATTTCAGGTAGAGAAAAAAAAATTCCGAAATTAATTCTTTAACATCATCTGATGAATCACGTTGACAATTTTGCCATGATAATGGAATTGAATGAAATAATCGATTAGCATGATCAAATTTTCCTTCTTGTAAATTTAAATAAAATGTTGTAAATGGTTCCTAAAAATTACACAAAAAAAAAAGAACTATTAGATCCATTAAATATAATTATATTCATAAACTAGCAAGTCGAATAAGCCAACCAAGTGTAAATGCAACTGTTGCATAATGTGTACCATAATGAAATGGTGGCATTGTATCAGATTCCTAATTATTATAACGTTCAATAAAAAATGATTTTCTTGTAGGATTTAATGCATCAATAGGCTAAAGAAGAAAAAATCAAGAATAGATAACAAAAAAAAACAATCTAAATTTACTTTTGATAAATCTCGATAAGATGATGGAGAATTTAAATCAAATTTTTTCACTTTCATAATCAGCTATAACCCATGGAAATACAGGATATTGATTTAAATCTTGATATGTTCGACCTAAATAATATTTTATTATAAATTTATATATATAATCTTTGTTCGATCATACCTCTGCAATTGTATTAAGATACATAAGATATTCTAAATTTGAAATTTCTCGTCGTTGAGTCATATTTGCTGAACGAAATAATTGTTTTGGTGATGGTAATGATGTTCGTCTAAATAAGATTTAAAAATAATATGAAATAACTATCTAACCGTTGTTGTGGTAAACCATAACGACCACCAACACCAACTCGAGATAAAAAGTTTACAACTGTTTTTTTTTTTTACAACTGAACGATCAGTAAATGCAAACATAACACTTGCTAAAATACAAATTTGGAAAAGTATATTATAAAAAATAGAAAGCTATAGATCGAAATAATAATTCAATCTTTCATACACATATTTCTTAGATTATTTCAGTTTGAAACTTTGCATAGAGACAGATCTTAAAGCTTAAGAGTCCAATGTCTCTCTTCCAAAGAATATTAAAATAATTTCAATAAATTCCACTACAAGAGTTTATATGCAAAACCCATTATTTTTCTGAACTGATATGACCTTAGTAATCATAGAGAGATGAAAATATAATTCTCAAGTGATTCTTAAGCCGAAAAATGAATCTTTTACGACTCGTAATTTTTTTTAGCATCACTTTTCTTTTCTGAAGTTTTTTTTTATTCATCTAAGCGACGTGCGACTTTGGTTTTTTTAAGTGATGTTGTTAAAGTATCTGATGAAGCCGTCTCGTAAATTTTAAACCACTCCACTAACGCAGGACACTATCATAAAGAAAATGTTCCTTGCATAGGATATTTCGCCTCAAGAAAAAATCGAAACAAAGGGGTTTTGACTTGAAATTTTGCGCATAATATACTGTTTAGATTACCTTGAAATTTTCAGCAACAACTGTTATTTAATCTTGGAAATACGGCATGTTGAAGAGAAGTCGGATTTTATGAGTTTTTTTGCAAATGTTGCTGATTTTTTCTTCTATGTCCAATATCTCAATAACAAAGCATCCGTTTTGACTGAAAATTTCAGAACAATTTAAGGATCATATCATCTGATTAAGGACGAAAATTCCTTTCTTTCAGATTTTTGGAAGATCCAAGATGTCTGCTAAAGAACATTGTGTAACTCTAGAGGAAGAACAAAGTACATAGTTTTAACTATAGTATAAGCGTACTGAGAATCCATCAGTTCTATTTTTATGGTTGTCTTTCTTCTGTTGCAAGAAAAACTTCTCTCGGACTTTTAAGGATTAATAAAAAGTTGTTTTTGTGAAAGTATCGGCTGCTATAGTGTATCTTAGAATTTGAAGAATAAGAAGAATTGAAACTTTTATAAGAAATTATTCTCACAAAAGGCTTGTTCGTATGCAAAGTTTTGAATTGAAATTCAAAAAATCAGTTTTTCTCTTAACATGTCACTCATTGAAAAAATAACTTAGAAGTGGAAGCAATAAGCTAGAGGTTTTTCGCAAGAGAATTTCATAGCAAAAAAAAAATAAGTAAATCTGATTTATCATATATCTATGTATATTAAGGATTACTAAATTGACATGCTTAAACAAATTTCAGGTTCTATCGAAGATAGGAAAAGATTACTATGAGTAGATTCCAATGGATATGAATCAAATTCAGTTCATCTTCGACGATTATTGAAACTATCAAAATTGAACCATTCAACAAAATTATAGAATAAGGATGGATCATTTCTTGCTCAAATGACAATAACATTATTTATAAGTTTTGTATTTTTAGGCATAATTTTAAATGAACTTAAAAAAATAAGAAGAATGATCTATTTAATTCATACTTCTATTTGAAACAAATATTTCTAATGCTTTTTATCTTGTAAAAGATATTTTCTTGAAAATATTGCTCGTATTTCATTAAAATGCTATTTTCCATGAATATTATCAATATAAGGAAACATCTAAACAAAAAAAAAAAGAATATATATCCATATGTGATTTTTAAATAATTCATTGATTTACTTTTGAATCAATTTTTGTAAAAACTTTCATCATATTCATCAGTATCAAATAACAGAGCATTATGTGTCATAGCTAAAGTACCACGTAGAATAATTGTACCATAAATTAATGAACATTCTGTTGAAAAACGTATTGATTCTGAAAAATCTTGATCAAGGTCTTTTTTTATCAACTTGTAATATTTCATCATCATCCGATATTATTGTTTGATTAAAATTTTGTAGTTTTTGTTGTTTTAATTGTTTTAATAAATTTTCTTCTTGTATAACAGATGTTATTAAATCATTATTAATACCATTAAATGATGATTTTTGTGGTGCTTCATTATGTATAGAACCATTTGGATTACGTATTAAACGTCGTCGTCGTCTTAAATCATCTTCTCATGGATCTAATTTCCAAAATGATCTTGAACTATTTAAGTAAGCTATTTTATCATTAATCATCATAGCTAAAAAAAATTTCTTGTAAACGTGATGCTATAACTTGATGTCGTTGACGTGCTGCTGTTATAAAATGTTCACATAATTATTCTTCATACTTACATTGAACAGTTGTTTGTGCTGATAATTGTTCAAATTCACTTGCTTGACGTATATCATCAGCACACATACGATTAAGTATAAAATTAGCTTCATTAGCTACTTTAACAATATGATCTTTACTTGCATCAGATTAATAAACGTCCTTCATTAACTAATTCAATAAAAGCTAAACCAGCATGTTTCTAAAATAGAATGAAAGATGTCTCTAAAAAGATTTCAATGATATTTTGTCTATAGAATACGATTTAGTGTTCGAATCATGAGTAATCAAAAAGTTTCTTAGACAAAATATTGAAAGACAATGACTTCTTAAGAAATTTCCTCGTAAGAAAAAGTTTAAATGTTACTTGAAGAGAATTTTGCCATTCTTGTGAACATAATAGCATAAACAAGTTCAACAATTGATACTGTTTGTTTAAGAGCATGTAAACCACTAGATAATAATTCTTGTCCATGTGAATCAACTAATGTTTTTGTAAGAATATGTGAAAATTCTGTAAATATACCACGTAAAAATGGTGCTATATTAGATAATGCTCGTTCGAATTTTTCTGTTATATTCATTGCTGATGATGATGATTCATTTGAATTAAAATTTGCTTTTGGATAATCAGAAAGTTTTGATTCAGGTAATTGACTTTTATTTATTGTTGTTGAATCACCAATAGGAATACTGGCAATACTTGCTAAAAAAAACTGAAGCAATAAAGAATGGTATAGTTAGTCTCTACGTCATATCAATTATAATTTTCTACATATCATATTGAGTAGCAGTAACACTTCTATTATTCATATCGATTGTGAATTTATTTTATTAACTTCATCATTATCATCAATAACTGCTGATTCACCATTATTCTTCTACAAAATCACATTTTTTAATCACCAAAAAAATTAATTTAACAAAATTTATACTTGATTATTTGTAATCGATATCGAATCATTTATACTAGCTGTATCTATATTAATCTCACTAGTCGAACCTAACAATCAAAAACAAAAAAAAAAGAAAAAGAGTTTCTAACAAAGAATAACAATCTAACTATTCATACCATGTCGAATATTTTGATGTTGTACTTATAATTGATGATTGTCTAGAAAAAAATATCACTTAAACGTTGAACATCAAGTTCTTGTAAAACAGATTCAGGATTTTTAATAAATGATGCAATTAATGTTGATATATCATCATTTTCATTTATATTCATTAAATATGTTGATTCAAGTATAGTTTCAAGTGAATCTTTATTTGATGTTTTTTGTGTAAATGTTGAATTTGATATTTTTCGATAGATCAAATTTTTGAAAACGACATTCCATACAATGACGAACAGCAGTTGTCATTGTTAAACACCAAAACAAAAATTTTTTTTATATATAAATAGGCATTAGAA